TTCTTCAGGATCCGGACCAGCAAGCCATTGTAGTTGCTGCTGGTGTGTGGATTTGAGAAAGCAAAACAGTCCCAGTGGATCTAAATTGAGTAAGAGAACTCATAGGCTAGTATCCAGGAGAGTGTACACCCTGGAAAGTCCACCAATATGTTTACGGACTTGAATTTGGAATAATAACAGATCACAAACCCCTAATAAAAACTAAAAGAACTGTGAATACTGTAAATCAGAAACAAGGAAAGAAATTGCTGGAAAAACTTAGCAGGTTTGGCAGTATCTGTGAAGAGAAATCAGAGTTAATGTCACGAGTCGAGTGACCCTTCTTCAGTACTCAGTACTCAGTTCTGAGGGTCACTTGTCCTGAAATGTTAACTCTGATTTCTCTCCTCTGGTGCTGCCAGACAAGATGAGCTTTTCAAGCAATTTCTGTTTTGTTTCTGGACCACAAATCCCTGCTGGTTCTACTTAAAGAAGACAAGACAGTGCTGCCCATAGCTTCTGGTCAAATTCAGCAGTGGGCTTTAATACTAAGTGCCTATAATTACTAGTTGGAACACTGTTTGGGAGACCAAATGGCAAATACCAAAAAAATTAGCAAATGCAGATGCATTGAGACTCCTCCTGCTGGCAGATACACCACTTGTAGTACTGCCACTGTAAGAGTCCATCACGGTTTTAAATTTTCTGGACACACTTCCAAGTGACAACTGACAATATCAGACTTTGGACATAGAAAGATCTGTCTTGGCAAAACTGAAACAGCTGGGGAAAACCAAAGGACTGCCATAATCGGTGGTGACTGGGGAAACCAGATGGTCATCATAAACAGAACTGAAACTTTTTGGACCAGATCACAGTAGAGGATGGCATATTATTATGGGGAGCAAGAGTGATCGACCCAAGCAAAGGTGGCCACCAGATACTGGCTGAACTCCACCAGGGTCATCCATGGGCTTCCAAAATAAAGATGTTGGCTTGTATCTATGTTTGGTGGCCACGACTGGATGCAGACATAGTTGTGTTAGTGTGGCACTGCCCTGAGTGCCAACAAAGACAAAAATTACAGCCATCAGCTCCCCCACATTCATACGAATGGCTGGGTAAACCCTGGACTCAGTTACATGTCGACTATGGTGCTCCTCTCATGGACTCAATGTTCTTAGTCATTGTATACACCCATTCAAAGTGGCTGGACGTGCATAGAGTTCTTTCGTCAAACACAGGGACGACAATAGATAAAACTGCATGATCTTTTGCAATACACAGATACCTGGAAGTATCTCACAGATAATGAGCCATCGTTTACCAGCAGGGAATTTGAGTATTTCCTTAAGTTGAATGGTATTCCACTTATAAGGACAGCTTCATACCATCCATCATCTAATAGTCTGACAGAAAGAGCAATTCAAACTTTGAAGGCAGGCTTAAAGAAACAGCCCAGCTTGTCCCCGCCTCCCTAACCTGTCCTTCCTCCCACGTATCCCCTCCTCCCACCTCAAGCCCCAACCCCATCTCCTACCTACTAGCCTCATCCCGCCCCCTTGACCTGTCCGTCCTCCCTGGACTGACTTATCCCCTCCCCAACTCCCCACCTACACTCACCTTTACTGGCTCCACCCCCACCTCTTTGACCTGTCTGTCTCCTCTCCACCTATCTTCTCCTTTATCCATCTTCTATCCGCCTCCCCCTCTCTCCCTATTTATTTCAGAATCCCCTTCCCCTCCCCCATTTCTGAAGAAGGGTCTAGGCCCGAAACGTCAGCTTTTCTGCTCCTCTGATGCTGTTTGGCCTGCTGTGTTCATCCAGCTCTACACCTTGTTATCTCAGATCCTCCAGCATCTACAGTCCCTACTATCTCTTAAAGAAACAGCCTACAGCTTTACTAGGTACCAAACTGTCCCAGTTCCTATTTGATTATGGGACCAGGACCACTCCTTATGTAACCACAGGGATTGTGCCAGCAAAGTTGCTAATGGGGAGAAGACTCCGCACCAGGTTAAATCTGATCTTTCTGGACCCGGGGTGGGTGAGTGTGTGTGCGTGTGCATGCGTATGTGATATGGCATCAAGAACGCCAATTCCAGACACAAGAATCCATTAAGTGAAAGAGACAGTTTACTTCAGGGGAGGAAGATTGGTGTAGGAACCACGGGAAAGGCCCTGCATGGGTAAGAGACATGTTCGATGTGAGGTCAGGTCCAGTGACATATAAAGTTTGGGTTGGTGTGACAGTCCTGAACAAGCACATAGACCATATGAAAGCTGCAAACTCGCAGTGAGGGAGCCAAAGGTACTCAGCTTCTCGACAGCCTTTCTGGCTGTTCCGGAACCCGTGGGTTTTCCTACTCCATGAAGTGTTGAAGATATCTCGGAATCTGAGATGGCCACTGCGGATGTTACCACCTCGACACCTTTGCTGCCTGAAGACAATGAATTTCTTCCAAGATTTTCCAGGCATAAGAGGCGAGCTAGTCTGCATTACACCCCGCTTATATCTGAGGGGGAGGTGGAGGAACCTGACCCAATGCTATAAAACCCTAGTGGAGCTAATTAAAAAAAGAACAGGCCTACATCCTCAGACTCAGAGGGGGATGGTTGTAGTGATTGTAATGAGGTCAACCAAGTGGACCTCATAGAATATGAGTGCCCTGATTGGGGCTATTAATCTAGTCCAATCAGAGAGTCCTGGCTGACAGATAAGAACAGGAGTGTCAGACATCCTGTTCACTATGACAGCTGGCTCTGAAGGAGCTGGATCAGTGTCCAGGACACTCCACATGTAAATAAAGGGTGAATTGGTGATGGGATACCAGCTTCTGTGGAGTTATTTCAAAGGGAGCACAGGGTATACTGATAGAGTTATATGGGGGAGGATGGGAAGAGGCTTGAATGGAGTAACTTATCAACATGGATTGGTTGGGCCAAATGCATTATGTTCATGCAGTATATTCCAGTTAATTCCAGAGCTGGCAACGTATTCCAATTGTTTGCTGTTCCAAGGGAAATAAACAACTTTCTGATACTTAAGCCAGATCTGACCATCCATCTGGTAACTAAGAGTTATAGAACCCCTTCAGTGTGGAAGCAGGCCATTGAGTCCATATGTAGCCCCTGAAGAGCATCCCACCCAGACCCCCACTCTATCCCCATAACCCCCATTTCCCATGGCTAATCCGCTTAGCTAACACATCCCTGGACACTACGGATAATTTAGCACAGCAAATCCAGCTTAAGTGCACGTCTTTGGACTGAGGGAGGAAACCGGAGCACCTGGACGAAGGCCACACACAGAGAATGTGCAAACTCCCTTATACCTGATTGAAAGTCCTTCTAGACAGATGGTGAAACTCATATTCAATTAACAAATCAGGCATTAAAAGTTAGTCCCATGATAACCACAAAACCAGTTGATTGCTGTAAACAAACACATTGTTCACTTACAGACAAACAGGAGGCTGGAAGAGCACAGCAGGCCAGGCAGCATTCAGGACAGTCCTGAAGAAGGGTAATTGACAAAACTTTGACTGCTCCTTTCCTCCAGATGCTGCCTGGCCTGCTGTGTTCTTCCAGCCTCCTGTTGGTCAACCTTGGATTCCAGCATTTGCAGGTTTTTTTGTCTCTAATCTTGTTCACTTATGCCTTTTAGGGAAGGAAATCTGCCCTTTTACTTGAGGTAACAAGGTGTAGAGCTGGATGAACACAGCAGGCCAAGCAGCATCATAGGAACAGGAAGGCTGACGTTTCGGGCCTAGACCCTTCATCAGAAATGGGGGAGGGGAAGGGGGTTCTGAAATAAATAGGGAGAGAGGGGGAGGCGGATAGAAGATGGATAGAAGAAACAGACAGGTCAAAGAGGCGGGGATGGAGCCAGTAAAGGTGAGTGTAGGTGGGAAGGTAGGGAGGAGATACTTGGTCGGCTCTCCATGATGGTTGCGTTGATAAAAGATAAAAAACAAGAGGGCATACATGGAGTCACAGAGGTCCAGTGCTGAAAAGAGTCCTTCGGCCCATGAGTCTGCACCAGTCAAAAACAACCATCCAATTATTCTGATCCCATTTAGTGACATGCAAAAGAAGCATGGGTGATGAGAGAAAAAAACATTTTCACATGGTGAGTAGTTAAGGTCTGGAATGCGCTGCCTGGAAATTTGATGGAGGCAGGTTCAAGTGAAACATTGAATGATTATTTGAATACAACTAGTGTGCTGGGATGTGGGGGAAAAGCACGAGTTTGGCACTGGGAATAGGAACAGGGGCACGCACAATCGTCCGAATGGCCTCCTTCTGCGCCAGTATCAATTCCGTGATGCTGTGATCACGGGTAGGACTTTCAGGCAAAGCATTCGACAACGAGAAAGGAAAAGCAACTGCCCTCCCGGAGTTAAAATCGGGCCCGGAATTGGGGCTGGGCGAGGGCCGCCGCAGTCAAACCTGATGGAGGCATTGTGACGTCACCGGCCAATCGGGAGACTGGGAAGAGGAGAACGGACCAATGAGGAAGGCTAGTCCACTTGGCCATGAATCAAGTTTGAGTGAGTGAGATGTAACAAAAGAGGTTGCGGAGCCTCTCCACAATGTCCACTCCGAAATGGTGCACTTCATTCATCTCATTCTAACTGCTGCAATCGGACCTTTCATTTTTATTTAAGATTTATGCAGTTTCCTCTCCCAGTTCATTTCCTCTCCTCTCCTCCCTTCCCATCCCTCCCTCCTCAACAGCATTCCGCAGTATTTCAGTCTTTTAATTAAGAATCGATCTTTAACCATCCTGCAAAATGTCTTCTGTTAGCTTCTGTGCAAAGCCATTGCCGTTTCATTTGATGGGGAGGGTGGTCAAGAGGCGTCATTGGAAATAGCTGGAACACATTCATTTGCTTTCTGTAGTGCACCATCGGCAATGTGTTGAGGGTCACTCTTTCCCTCTCTATTTAAAATAAAACAGGATAAACGCTCACGCATCGTTGGTGTGCAAATCGACGACAGAATTGCTGCTGATCTGATGGCCATACCTCGCCTGCATTTAGGCAAGAGCCGCGCTGGAGGGAGCAGCGTTGATCTCCCTCTTCCTCTCTCCCTTGTGTGATATGCCAGTCTATAAAACGCTGCTCTCTTGTCTTGCTCCGCCTCAGTGGTGTCCAGGCAAGGGAGAAACGAATGGCCAGTGTTATGCCTACACTCAGCCGGAGCGATGGAGGAATTAAACGAGTGTGAACACTTCCCCGAGAGAAAGGGAAAAGGGGAACTGACTAGCGCGGTTGCTTCCAAGTCCCGGTGAATGATCAGAAGAGACCACATTGCCGAACTTTCCATTCTCCTGACCCGTGGACAACGTATACTGTATTGAGAGGGGAGTAGATCGGAGCTCTTTAAGGACCGTCATAATCGCTGCAATGGGAGAATAATGCCCCGCAAGCCGTGTACGTCCAAAAGGTTTCATTTTAGCTAAGAAATATATATGTTATGTGCATATCCTTCGTGAGCTATATGCTTAAAATGGAGAAGCCACCAACCAGCTTCAGAGAAATTTTCCTTAAAGCTGGATTTAGCTGAAGATCAACTGGTGACAGATCTGGGAGGTAATGTTCAATCCAAAAACTTCAGATTTCTATCTAGTTCAAAGGGCTGCTGATGCTCTTATATTTTAAGGAAAAGCTGGAATTTGCAGTTTTGCCCTGGAGTTGATGGGATTAAGCAATTTGGGAGAATTCTTCCAGAAAGGAGCACTCTTACTAAAATTGAAACTGAACAGTTTTTGGGACCAGAGACGTTGGAGACATCAGAGTGCTTTTATGCATGTGGAAAATTGGATCGAGTGGGTTACCGGAGGGGTTGAGGAACCAGTTTGAATAGTGGTGCAAAGGGAGACTTGAAGGGGAGAGTGGGAGGTGGGAGACCATGTCCAGAGCGAACAGTGTGAGCCCCCCAGGTGCTGGATCAGCTCCCACAGGAGGTAATGAGCACCGGGCAGCCTGGGCAGAGGGCGAGGTGGGCACCTTGCAGTCCAGAGCCAATGGCATCTCAATCCCCAGCAGGAGAGCCAGGGATAAGCGATGGAAGGGTGAAGAGGTGGATGAGGAGAATGGCCAGCAACAGTTACCCAGGAAATCCAGCAGGCTCAGCTTCCGATCCAAGTCTGCATGGCAGGAACAGCTAGACAGGGAAGGTGGATCAGCAAGCCGGAATAGTGTGGCCCGGCCCAGGCATCAGTTCCGACTGGATGGGGAGGTGCGACCGAAATCAGTGGAGGTGGGACTGGAAGAGAGAGCCATGTCTAAGCTGGCTGATATTGATTCCTCAGCCTCCGATGTTGACATCTCCTTCGCAGATTGCTGCCACCGACTGTTTCGGATCTTCCAGTCCAAGAAATTCCAATCTGAGAAGTTGGAGAGGCTGTACCAGCGTTACTTCTTCCGCTTGAACCAGAGCAGCTTGACCATGCTGATGGGGGTCCTGGTGCTAGTCTGCGCCGTTCTGCTGGCTTTCCATTGTGTCCAGGGGAGCTACGAGCTCCCATACCTAGTGATTTTGGCTGTGACCATTGTCCTGGTCCTTACGCTGATGGTGGTCTGCAATCGTAACGGCTTCCACCAGGACCACATGTGGATCATCTGCTACCTGCTCATTCTGGTGATCCTGGCGGTGGAGATCATCGGGCTGCTGTTGGTAGAGCCACGCTCTGCATCGGAGGGGATCTGGTGGACCATCTTCTTCATTTATATCATCTACACCTTGCTGCCCATCCGAATGAGAGCAGCAGTCATCAGTGGCATTCTCTTATCATCCCTCCACCTTGGCATATCTTGGAGGAGGAACCTGGTGGACCCCTTCCTGTGGAAACAGGTAAGATTCTTGTTGAAAAAGATTTGATTTCAAGGGGATTTGGCTAGTTCCTCGTTATCGTCCTTATTGCTGAGTATCAACTCTACCTTGAATGGATTGGATGCATGTGGTGTTGATGTGATCTATCACTTCTCATCCATGGGTGGCCTTCTTTCACAGAGGTAGTGAGTGGTTACAGTGCAGAATGAGGCTGCTTGGTCCATTGTTTCTGTGCCAGGATGGATTTTTGCTCAGCTTTTTTATTATTCACTTATGGATGTGGGCATCTCTGGCTGGGCCAGCATTCGTTGCACATCCCCAGCTATACTTGAGAACGTGGTGATAAGCTGCTTTCTTGAACTGCTGCAATCCATGTTGTTTGCAAAAAAAAATCTATTTTACTGACTGCTTCTGGAGCTGATGCAGTGGTGCTATATAAGACAGGGTTACTACTGAGACGTTAATACATATTGGGAAATCTTAAGTGAGCTATTGAAGCTTTTCAGAGTTATTACATGATCGGTCAGCGTGCATCAAACTGGTGTCCTCATTAAGACCTTCTTGATTACCATCTTGATATTTTTCTCTTTATTCTAAGCATGGGATCTGGGCATCACTGGCAATACCAGCATTTGTTGCCAATCCCACTTTTCCAGAGAGAGCATTGACAGTTGACTACATTGCTGTGTTTCTGGAGTCAAGTGTAGCTAGGGATAACAGATTTCCTTCACTAAGATGAGTTTTTACGACACTCTGTGATAGTTTCATGATCACCATTGCTGATACCAGCTTTCAATTCTAGATTTTCAAAGCTTAATTAAATTTATTATTGAATATAAATTCCATCAGTTGCCATGGTTGTATTTGCTTGGGTTTCTGGATTACTTGTGCAGTGATATTATCATAATGGGTGATCCCATTATGGTATTTTTGATTCCAAGTAGTACTGTGATATTGAACCCTAAGAATGAGTGTTAGTATAATCTATAAATAGGCTTTAAGTCTTATACTCAGAAAACATATGGTTTAAATTAAATAGCTAACTTAGGAATGGTTGATTATATTAAACTGACAGTGGGACTAGCCACTGGGACTGAATATTGTTGGCAGGCAACTGGACTGTTGGAATGGTGTATCGTATTCTGCAAACTTTGGGACTGAACACTTGGGCCATACATTATACCTCACTATTTCCTTGTCTTCTTGTTCATAAATCTAATGAATTGGTTTACACTAAATCAGCAGCTCTGTATGGAAAAGCTGAGTTAAGTACTCTGAGTATTAACAGAGACAGGACTAACCACAACGCAAAGCAGCCTGCCAAGGCAATTATAAAATCCATTCTCCGTTTTATTACAATTCCACTGGGTCATGTCCAGGTCTGGCTCTCTTACCAATGACTGCTGTCAACATTGGCATACCTTCTAACTTTTAATTATGAAGCAGTGTATTGAGCTGAGGTGGATTTGAGAGGAGTCTCCCTACATCATGCAACAGCTTTCAAAGTAATTTTTATTTTTGGGTCTTGCAAAAATGGTATGAAAAGAACAGCCGAGTTGTTAGTCGACTGCACTGCACCAGTGGCATCTCTGGCTGGTTGCTATGTTGAAAAAGCAGGATTATTATTCTTAAAGGAGCTTGTCCTCCAATTTAGTTAGAAAGATGTTTTTGTGCATTTACACATTTGTATATGTTGAACGTTTTCCTCTTTCCTCCTCTGCAATGTATGAACAACCCCCACCCCTTTTATCAGGTGACATTAGCTAACACTGCACTGATCAAACCAGGTATTTTCACAAGACTGACTGATCCACTTACTATGTACATAGATGTTCCTTTGTAAAGGTGTAGTTGCCATAGTCTATTCCTTCGAAGAATACTGTTGTTTTAGTTTGCTCATCTGTCCTTGCCTACTGACCCTGTCACACCCAGAAACCCTCTGATTCTTTGAATTTTCAAAATCTGATTTCAGAACACATACAAAATTATTTCATGCAACAACTTAATTTCTAGCCACCTTCTGAGATCCCAACTGGAATTTCTCATCGCCTGCAAAATGTACATTTATGCATATGTCCCCATGCATTCTTTTTGTAAATGTTTTATGTTTAGAACACAAATGTACCAGAAAGTGATGTTTTCAATGAATGTTTTTCATCAAGCTTCTCATCTCTAATCCAAGCAATTCTTTGACATAGCCCCCACATTTGTCCACTGTACAGGCCCCTGTGGGAACGCAATTTAAACATAGCTTCTTATAGTCATTGCCGGTGTACTTAAATTGGAATGACTGATATTAAAGTTCGGAGAACTGAGATACTGAGTTCTAACATTTTAGTCTCTTTAGTGCTGTTCCCAATCTATATTGGTTGAGGGGCAACAATGTTTATTGAGGACAGTGAACATATGTATCCAAAACTGAATAGTTTAAGATGATGTTTGGCACAATGGGGAGAGAAGTTGTTTCTTAAGCATATTATGTATGGAGTCTTGGTTGTTTTCTGCCCTGCCCTCCTCCATGACCACACAGAGACGCTAAAAAATTGAGGACTTGTACAGTGACAGCCATCAAATGTTTGTAAAGTTACTGCTTTAAGTGGATCGTTTCTCATGTTTGTGATATGATGGTGAAGTTTGACGTGTTATTTGATTATTGTATGATATAAGTCCCATTGTCATTCACACACTCTGTCCGCATACGTGCACTTCCTAGCAAGAATCATTAATTCGTGATAATATTCTTACAGCTTCCAAATTCGTAGACACTGAGTGAAAAAAATTAAAATGGAAACCCGTTTAGTGAAACTCAGTGGACAATATAAATGAGGTAATGATGGTCAGAGGAATCAGATTTATTAAGTTGATGGAAATTGAGTTCTCGCAGAAAATTCCAAAATGCCATTTTATTTTAATTTGTTCATTAAAGTCAGCCTCATTCAGGAACAAATGTCGGGCTTAGGACTTTCATTTTCCATAGTGATGCTATTCTAATTTTTTTTATCTGTGGAAGGACAGAATTTTTTTGTTTTAAGTTGTAGATGTTTTAAGATTTAATTCTCACATTTGCCTCAGCAAATAAATAATTGAACACTGGTTCTCTTATTGACTTTGATAAACAGCTCTCCTAAGGGCAGGCCTGATGCCTGGCTCTAGGCCCTGATGCCATGGTGGGTTACCATGGAAACCTCTTCTCCACTCTACATTTTCTGGGCCCTGAAGCCAAATAAGTGTATTCCATTCTTTGAGGATGTGTAGGTGGGTAGGACTATAATATTAATGGGGCTGCGGAGGTGGGTTGAGAGAGGGGGCGGCACAGTGAGACTGTCAAGTCTGTAGGAAAGAAAACACCCAGCTATTTTACTGAAAAGCAATTCTGTGTGTTTCCAGCGCCTGCTCTCCTTATCCCTCTTAAAGGAGCAGGTCTGAATTCCTCAAGGTTAGCCATTTAAAGGGATGTCACCTTCATTATAAAAGTACTTTTTGTACTGCTGGTTTACCAGCACCCTTGCATAAAGCAGAAATCTTCCCAGAAAGGGCATCGGCACTTGGTTTTCAGTCTCACTCACCATTTTCTGGTTCATGTCCCCTGATCAACTATAGTGCAGATGGAGAGAGGTGGGTGTTCAGAATCTGCTGTCCATGCCTGCTATATCAGTATTCTAGCATGGATTCTCAAATCCCAGAGGGAAAAGGAAAACAGTAATACTTTGGAATGAGCATACTGGAGCTCCGTTTTGATTTATACAAGATGAGTCGAACCAGTGTGTGTCATTTGCAGGTTTTACTGGTTTTTACTTCTGGGGTGGGAATTAGGAGCAAGCAGTCTACTATTTTAAAGAACCAACACTCTCCCCCTCTTTCTGTTCACTGTGCTCAAGGATGAGAAAAACAATCCTGAACCTAATACTTTCTGTAAGACGGCTGGTACGCACAATTGATTCATGTGTTTGCACATCTTTTAGCCTCTGGGATCGGGGTACAATCTGTATTGCTCAAGATATGTCATGTTGCCCATATTCCAAATTTGTTGTCACTTCCTAAGGTATAGGATTATGTGTAAGCTAGTGTGCCCATCATGGCCAGTGATACACTCCTTGTTACACATGCAAAGCCTAAGGTTTACAAGCAGAAACAGCAGACTTCAGCTCTTTAGGAGCAGCTTCGATTTGCCAAGTTTCGAGCTATTCTTAGAGGTACAGGTGAGTGTGGAAGATAAAGATTGGCTGCGCAAGGTACTCACAGCAACGCTTTAGAAGAGCTGCATTTACAACAGTAAAAATTCAGATTCAGAGATAGTAGGAACTGCAGATGCTGGAGAATCTGAGATAACAAGGTGTAGAGCTGGATGAACACAGCAGGCCAAGCAGCATCAGAGGAGCAGGAAAGCTGACGTGGGGAAGAGGCAGAGGATCCTTGCTGCATTTAGCCCAGTTCTTCCCGTGGACCATCTACAAGGCTTAACTGGTGTACTTTTGGCTGTGTTTCAGTGATGTGCAAACCAATGCCAAAAGTGCGGCTTGGAAGCTGTTAAACCCATAAATATAAAGTGAGAATGAATTGGGGGTGAGGTGGGGAAGAGGAGGTGTACACAAGAACCTTGAAAGCCGCTGTCAACTCTATAAGGAAAAGTGACATGCAAACATAGAAGTCCGCTCTTGACATTAATGGTCAACCTTATGTCTTCTCTGTACTCTCTGCTTTGAATGTCTCCCTTGTGTCCTGGAGACCAACACTGGACATGTATGAACATGTAGTTTGTCCATAATTATATGTCCTCTAAATTTTAGTACGATGATTTAATGGGGGTGAGTAGTGGGGCGGGGTGGGGGGGGTGGTGCGGTGGGAAGAATTGGGAAATGATTTGCAATAGGTAACATTCTGAGCTGTCTGCCTGGTAATTGGTTTCTGTCCTATCAGGAAGAGGAATGGGATTTTGTCTTTTTAAGGGGAAGGGAGACTTTTGAGGAGGTCAGAATAACTTGCTCTTGTAGTTGAAGAATTTGCAGAATGAATGTTCTACC